GTAAAGTTTTTGCCCCTTGCTCAGTTTCTTTAAAAGACACGGAGAGTTTTCTCTATAACCAAACAAGTATACACATCAATGAAACCAAACTTCTCCTATAGGTAGGGTAATGTTCTTGTGCTTAAAAGTGACCATATATTATGCCTAAGGGGTAGACGAGGTAGATTTCTCAAATATTACTACTCTCATTTCAGATTTTGACGTTCTTGAAAAGCCCCAAAGGAGAGACATTGGCAATACATTTGGAATGAATGAACGTGTGTGGGTGTGTCTCACTGTTTTACAGATGTGATGGAAATAGGTTTTGTTGTAAGATTTTTTTTTTATCTTTGAAAGCCGTCCATTTAGCTTGATATATATTATATAAATAAGTATACCCCCTCCCCCTTCTCATGTCTTCGCGCTTCACGACGTTAAGACCCCAGTCCGTTGTTTCCTGACCCTACAAAACATAAAGGCAACCTCAATGTGACTCCAAGGGACAAGAAGTGATGCACGCCAGACCAAGAAGTTCAAAACAGGGAGCTGTATAATTTCACTTTCATGAAAATTCCAGCAAGGGTGGAAGGAGTGAACACCGTAACTTCCCCTCTCATGTATCAAAACAAGTCCCGGACATAACACTGCGACGCCTTCACCTCAGCCACCACCCCTCTCTCTCCACCACCTTCATTCCCATCCTTCTCTCCATCACCTTCATCCCCATCATCTATCTCCATCATCTCATGTCTTATCCCTATCCCCTCTCTCCATCACCTCATCCCCCCATCCCTTCTCCTCGACTTGACACTCGAAGCTCTATAACCAAACGACACACTTAACTTCATAGTTTGTTTGAGGAAAAGAAAAGCAGCACAATATCGACACGATAACGACAATTTAGAGCTTTTTAAAATTAGAGTTTTACGGCATTTGCAACACAATGAGGTTATATAAGTGTCGAAGATTAGAGGTGTTACAAGCGGCTAAAACAGCACCTGGACATGGATGGCTGGTGCCTCTATAAATAAATCATTGGTGGTCAGGTGTTACAAGAGTGTAACAAACACAAAAAAGGAGGAGGAGAGATCAGAACGATAGATGTTTGATAGGAAAGAAGGAGCAAACCACACCAGAGCACCAGCCAACCACTTACTAAATTTAGAGCAGCAAAAAGAAGCAAGGTAAACATTCAGAAACAAACGACAAAAAGAGAGGAGGAAGCAAGCAACCCACCAGGAGCACCCTCCAACAACCAGCTGACTCTCCTAGAACACGGCAGCTATTTCGAATATTTCCCCAGACAGACGCGTTGTGCTGGAAGGTACGACACGAGACTGGACCTCCGCGTCCTAATTGAAAATCAATGGCCCAAAGTTGTTTGTTGCCGAGTCCGGAAAAGTTCAGAGCAGCAGGATCTGGCTTCTTTGGTATAGCCGTTATAAAAGCTCTTCGCCGTTAAACGCAGCGGAGACAAAGGTTCAATTCTGGGAAGGGAAGGGGATTCAATTTAACGCGTCCACAAAAGTTCCAAAGTTTTTAGTTTTAGTAGAGGTTTTACGGTGCTCGCAACTGCATAAGGTCATATTATGAGCGCCAGAAGATTAGAGGTGTTACAAGAGAGTAACAAACATAAAAAAGAAGGAGGGGAGATAAGGATGATATATTTTTGATAGGAAAGAAGA